TTTGTTGTGCTCTCATGTTCTCCATTCTAAACACGTCATTTTGTTATTCAAGATGTCTCACTTTTCCCTCCAAATACTGAGGCCTGCTTGTAAAAAAACAACAACTGATATCTCCCTTCCCTTCCGTTCTGCAGTTGATACCAATAGCTGAGCTTGTAAGAGCACCTGTATTCTGATCCACCTACTGGTGGCAGGGAGGACTCGAGTCGATTTATACGTTCGCTGCTTGGAACTTGATGGCATGGACTGTGATCGGAAGCAGCTGGCGACGTAAAAGTCGAGTGACGTCAGAGGGTCCTACCCTCAGGGCGGGACGGGTAGTGCTTAGTGTTACGACACGTTCAGCTTTCGCCGTAAAATCGTACCGCTAAACCGAGGTTTCAAGATCGAATGATGGTGTCAGGGCTCACGCAACAAGGACCACTCAGCGCAGACGCTGATGCCAGAAAATAATCCAATCAGTGAGTTAAGACTAAGTTGTTTCAAAGTAAACAATCTAAAAACCGCGATTGATTTCGTGGTTCTTATTCCGTATATCCTGCCTAATCAGGATGAAGTGGCGACGGGCGTTCACCACTCACTCGCCTGATATGCGAACAGAACCGATCGCACAGCAGCCTCTTCAGCTCGCTCCGACTCCTGGCAAGCTTGACCATCGCACCTTCGCAAACATGGGCTTGTCAATCACACACCGTCGCACGATTGGGCCTGTGAATCACACACCGTCGCACGATTGGGCCTGTGAATCACACACCATCGCACGATTGGACCTGTGAATCACACACCGTCGCATGGTTGGACCTGTGAATCACACACCATCGCATGATTGGGCCTGTGAATCACACACCATCGCACGATTGGGCCTGTGAATCACACACCGTCGCACAGTTGGGCCTGTGAATCACACACCACCGCACGATTGGGCCTGTGAATCACACACCGTCGCACGATTGGGCCTGTGAATCACACACCATCGCACGGTTGGACCCGTGAATCACACACCATCGCACGATCGGGCCTGTGAATCACACACCGTCGCACAATTGGGCCTGTGAAGCACATACCGTCGCACGATTGGGCCTGTGAATCACACACCGTCGCACGATTGGGCCTGCCAAACCGTTAGCTTCTCTGACCTGTCTGCTGCCCAGGACACGCACGTGGAGCAGAACTGCGCCGCATAGCAGCTTTGTGCTGTGTTACAGTGTTAAGCTCCATGTTTGCACCCATGAGGGCTAGGGCCTCATGGAGCGCGACATTAACTTATTCGTACCCAGATCGTACGCCGCATGGTCGCTTGCCCGGCGCAGACATTGCGCAAAAGAAGCTAATCATATGCTGCCAAGGGCAACTTCTAAAAATATGAAGCAATGACGGATATTAACATGCCTTGTCAACCGGCCAACTGCTAAATATTGATGTCATCGGGAACCAAAAAAACCTACGGTTAAAGGGAGCGTTCCACATAAGTACGGTGTTTAAGCTGAAACTGCCGTTTTGAGGATCATTCAGTGCAGTTCGCAGGCCTGCCCTTCTTAAGAACTAAACCTTTCTTAAGAACTAAACCCTTCTCAGGAACTAAACCCGTCTTAAGAACTAAACCTTCTACTTACAAACCTACACACCCGCAAAGGTGTGCACACTATTTCGGAGAACTATTCCAAGGTTGCCCATGCACACATCGTCATTCAAAATTCTGCCATTTGCCGTTGGCCATGCGGCGATCAAGGACAAGGATATAATTGTCGAGTCGTCCATAGCTGGCATTCGTGAACACGATTTTCGAATATGGTGGTCATAACTTAGCTCTTAATCTGCAGGGCACAATGACATAATTCAGCAATGACATATTGATGGGTATCTTTACTAGGTAGAAAAACTGTGTTCTTTATAGCAGCCTTTTCCACTTAAAAGTATACCAATAATCATAAAAGAGCTTGTTTCAATCATATCTGATGCTTGCCTCAACATCTTCAAATGTAGAGAATTCCCTTAAGGTGGTTAACTGAAGCGATGCAGTTCTCCATCTGCTTGACGATGGACGTCGATGCGGTTTGCGTGCCTAACAAGACTAAAATTCACTGCTGTGAGTTGGAAAGGAAGGATGGTCAAATAAAAAAGGCCACATTTATACAATGATATCAACATCAACAATGGGGACACAAAAATTACGAAGCAGACCCCACCGCTTCTACATTTTTGGTCCGCACATAGTACAAAAGAAAATATATCAACGTCAGCGCGCGTCCCAGCAAAGTCAAGCAGAAGCGGAAGCCTGCGACTGTCGGAACTCCAGGCTCTCTTCACGAAAATTTACCGCTCTGAAGGCAAAGATATGGAGCGGGAGACAAGGCAGACACATTCTGGCAGTGTTTGTGGAAGTAATAAAAAGGACGAATGGGACCAAACGAATGCGAGCTTCCCATTTCTACACTTCGTCAACATCTGAAGTCACAAAACCACTCACACAGTGCAGTTTTTGGTCACGAAGAAGGAAGCTTGGCGAAAAGCGCTGAAGTTGTCGACTTGTACATTGTTGTAGCACCCAGCAAAACAAAGGTATGACCACTGAATAATGTGTCATGCCGATCTATTATACAGTACCAGTGATTTTGTGAGCGCGGTGAGCTTAAAACGGAACAAGCAAACGACAGGTCGCTAAAATTGAGCTTCATCATTTGGGCCGGTCTAACTGGCATACAGTCACGCTTTGTGCTCTAAGCTATGTGACACGTTATTGAACAGCGCACACAGTGTCCAGCCCAAATGAACTGTTAAGAATATGGTAAAAGGCTGAGTGCGATAATATTACATAATGAACGACAAATATCAGCCAGAATTATACCTTTATTAGGCATTTAGGCTATCAAGCAAACTCGTGAGCTCACAGTTCTTCTCCCACTAAGCGAGCTGCTTTAATTTTTCTTCTCATCCGTGATGCTTTGTGCTAACGCCAACAAGACATGACAGCTTGATCAACACATTGTTCGGCAGCTTGCCCGACAGCTTACTCAGTCTGCGCATCGCGTGCCCTACTCAGCCGGAGTGAGTGAACTGAAGACGCTGCGCTGCTGACCGGCTGAACCTACACCTTAAATCTAACGCTGTAAGGTGGTGTGTTTTTTTGCAGGTTTTTACAGGCGGCTTTTTCTAGGGCCACATGATTTCTCCCATTTCAAAACTTACCAACTTTGTTCAGTAGCGGCTCCCGACGTGAAGTCAAGCAGCTCACGCCAATGAATCTCTAGAAAATATGCCTCCAGCCTGGAACCGGAAGTCATTGTGGCGCCCCGTGCTTGCATTATTTTTTTAGTGTCGGTTACGGGAGCACACTGACCACGGGGGGTTCACTGTCAATGGATGCCCTGAGGACTAGAGCCGCACAAGACCACCGTCAATTTTGTCAAATACACAACTTAACGTATAAGGTCGGTCACTCGATTGGTAATAATGTTGCTTGCAGTCGTCGTAACCTCCTGAGGGACCAACGGTCCATTTCCGCAGCACAGATTCTACCTCCCCCGCACACACGCCAAAGGACCATTCGGATTCAAGATCAAGAAACCGTACTTTTAGTCACGACCCAAAACAGAAAAACCTACCATCGATAAGGCCCACATCACGACCACTCTCTCCAGCAGGCCTCGCGCCAGAACAAAGGCGCTTGCTGGGGTCGGCACCTGCACTTAGCCAGATAGGCGCAAATGGTGCGTCGGAGCGGCGCTGGGTGCCGGGACCGGTCCGAGCGCACCGCACGCGCCCGAGCGGCCACCATCAGGCCTGCGGCCGTTGCCCTCGGGCGATTAATGCTGGCCCAGGAGCGGCAGCCCTTTGGGCGGTCCGGTGCAGTCGCAATGCCGACGGAAGTCCCGGAACCGCCACTCCAGCCTCGGCCATGTATCACAGGTCAGCGCCAGGGGCGGCCCGAGGCGGGGCGCAGCGGGGGAGGGGAGGTGGCACGTGCGGATGCGCGGGCACCTGCCGCAGGCAGCAGCAGGGTGAGCGGCTACCGGAGGCGAGCAACACCGGCCGCTGATGGCCGCCGGGGGATCCAGCTGTCGCTAATCAGTGACGACCAAACGTGCCCGGCATACGGGCGCGCCTGCCGCGCCGCCCGCCGCCGCCCTGATTGAGGGCACGCGCCGCTCGCGGGCCGCCGCCTCGCCCGCCCGAGCGCGCATTATAAACGAGGCTGCTGTCGCCGGCGAGATGGGGCCGTGGGAGAGGGTGGCGGTTTTTCTGGACGGCGGCGCAGGCGGCGGGCGCGACGGCCGATCGAGCTCCCCCCCCCCCCTCCTCCCCCCACCCGTTACCGGCGACAGTACTGCGGACGACGGCGGTGCATCCACCGCCAGGCCGTGGGGGGACTCGCAGCGGGACTGTCAGCCTTTGTCGGCGTGTCGTGGGTTTGTGAAGAGTCACCACATTCAATTTGGGAGCGTCGTGTGCCAAGAGGAAAGCAGCGTCAAATGGCCAAGATGTGCCTACAGCCGGAATTCTTAGTCGGCGCCATAACCGGAATTTGTTTTATCTTCGTATCAATGAGCGTTTAGTCATCTACTAAAACGTGACCATAAATGTACTATGGAATAAGAGCAAGACAAGAGTATTGTGAAGGTAAATGCAGGTTGAACAGCCCAGTGTTCACTTAATTTAATTTCTAATCTAATCGTGCAGCTATACAACATATCTAACTATAACGTCATCAATAATACCTGCCATCAGATGAAAAACATGCAGATCTCTGCTTCCGTTGACACCAGTTCATCATGCATGAACCATCATTACATCCTACGGGGTGTGGATTCATTGGTGGTGCTGGAGTGCTAAATCAATGCGGCTCAGAATGCAAGGGTAGGCATCCGATGAGCTATTTGAGCTACAGGTGATTGCAGCTGTTAAATGTAAAGAGCTAGCACCGAACTCCGCGAGCTTCGGAGAGCTACAGAGAAGAAAGGAGTAGAAGGTTGATAAAACAGGCATCCTCCGGCGGCGCCTACCTGCGGCTGATCCGATGGCTAGAACAGTAAAGACGCGTTATTGCGGGCAGGTTGATTGCAGTTTGGTGATCAATGTTGTAGGCTGTCCTCAAGTTGATACATAATGCAACAACACGGAATAAATACCACATAGCAGTACTGAAGTGATTCACATTTCCCACTAACTATCACCGATGTTCCATTCCACAACCGTGGCTGCACCAACTGTGTGATGCTGCGCGCAAGCAAGGGTAGCAGCGACGTTTTGTCCACGAATTCTTATCCACGAAAGGACGTAACTGGTGGTTCGTTTCCGTGACTTATTTGATTGTAGCGCCTGTATTCCAACCCACGCACCCGAGGCGGGGTGAGTTTGCTTCGATATAACCTCGCGCTATTTGTCGTTGGCAGATACGGCCTGCAGCGGTGCTAAAGATCAGTTGACGTCAGCGGGCAGGCAGCTCGAGCCGATTATTGCACCGTGTTTAGCTTACCAAACTCTGCCTTTGACCTGGAATGGCGCGCTCGGATGGTACCATTCAGGGATCACACAGCAACCACTGTTTAACACGGGAAATCCCAGAAATCCATTCGTTCAAAAATTCCGAATAAAATCTTTAAAATAAAAAAGTTAGCGATCCCACAAACAGCTATGGGGTCTTGTTAAATGCTGCAGCGAAATTCATTTACCGAGATAATCTTCAATAATTATGTCCAGGAACCTTCTCCACGTTTCATATACACTGCTGATTGCAATTTTCGAACTGATCGAATGTTTCATTGACGCATGTCTGTGTCAATGAACAGATATTGGACAGGTACGGATGGCGTACAGATACAGATATTGGAAGAGATGCAAAGATCAGACAGAATAAAATCCTGAAGGAGACGTATGTGATGAAAACTAATGACAATGGCAGTAGGGGTGAAACGTACCGTGCATAAGAGCCCCGGTTATCCCGATTGTATGTTGTATTTTTTCAGACGTGAAAAGACGGGCACTACGTTACTATCAATGCTATTTTATATTTCGACAATCATAATTGCACATTTGATACACCAGTAACTGCGGGTTGCATTGACAAGTAGGAGAGGCTAGGGCAAAGACACACTCACAGCTTCGCTTTCCTTTCACTGATCATTGATATTGATTGGGAGGCAAAGTTTGCGCATAAAATAAGCCATTTTTAGCACACTTCACCCTACAATAACAGCCAAGCGTAGCATGTAGCTGTGTTTGCATATGTGATCCACATAATTACTTAATGATATCAAGCCCATCTTTGAAAGTTTGCGCATTCATTTCTGATTTTTTAGTGAGATGTTTACGCGAGCTGTTCGGCTTTTGCAAACTGGCTTACTGGTGTGTCATGTTTACCGTGGGGTTTGCTACCACTTGGCCGCTTACTAAAACACGAAATACGTATATTTCGTAATTGTTTGGTGCTTGACAGCTCACTCTGATTTTTGGATGTTTAAAACTCAGTTAAAACTGAAAATATATAACTTTTCTCGCTAGAATTTTTGCCCCACAAAAGCCCACCGAGTCTGGTCCACATCCCGGCCAAAAACACGCAGGTGATGGCTGGTCAGGTGTTCGCGGGTTGACGGGTTGAAAAGCTGCATTTTCAATCCGCAGTCACAAGCGCATATTCTTTTTTGTTATCTCCGCTCAGGCACGTTGAATATGATGAGTGTCATTTCACGTGGCTTCTTGGCAGACTGCAATGACAATTTTCACAGTTCCTGTAATCGGTAGGCATTTCTGGGACGGCGCCACGAATTTTGGGCTGCGGGAGGCAGGATTCTTGTGGGTCCTACTGGACAAAATGGGTCTCCTCACAGGGGGGGGGGGGGGGGGCCTCCGGCGAAGTGGCGTATCCAAGGTGCATGGGTTCCTAGGAAATGTATTTCTGTACCAAAATATTACATCCGTCACATCCAAATGCATCAGTGTAACCAATTACAAACCTACAATGGACCTTCATATTATCCAGCAAACGACTTCGATAACCAAAACAGGGTCTCCTGATGCAAAGAGAGACCTAATTCGGAACAGGATGCTTCTGATTCGCGAAGAGGGTCACCAAATCTAGCCAACTGGTCTCGCTACACCAAAGCAGGGCATCCTGATTAGGAACCGCTGCCATCTGATGCATGAAAGGGGCCTCCTATTCGAGAAATAGGGCCTTCTGAAAATAGAAGGTGCCTCCTAGCCCAGGGCAAGGCCTATTAGTTTATAACGGGGTCCACCAAGTCAGCAAAGGGGCCTCCTTAACACAACATCGGTCCTCCTGATCTAGAGCATGAGTTACCTTACTCATAGATGTGGCCTCGTGATCCAAAAAATGAGTCTCTCTACCTAGAAAATAGTCTTCTGAGCTTGATTTCCCACCATCTAGCTCAGTCATCGGGCTCCTTGATCTGGATTTTGGTAATCTACGGGAAGCTCCAATGTATTTGGTTTTGGACAAAGGCCCCACTAATATTTGTATTGTGGAAGCAAAAACATGATCTTACCCATCCCCGTTTGCCGGTAGGAAAGAAACAGCCCTCTCGGTCCCCCGTTGCGCCGCCCCCTGGGCTTTGCCATACGTTACCAAACTCCATTATGTAGCAGTTATGTACGCGGTCTTGCGTGATTGTGCGGCACCAGCAATATTTCATCAATACCTGATGTCGGTAGGTGGCGCTGTAACAAAACTGGTATAGGTGGCAGCACGTGCTGGGATGAAGCTTAGTTGTGATCAAAACCGTTATTGTTCACACTCGTGGCTTGATTGGCTCCGAACAGTTTGATGATTTACTCTTGGGTCCATTTGTATCAATCAGCGCCTATACATTTTTTATGAAAAAGGAGGAACAGCTACACGACAACCAAATGGACAGGCCCGCTGCCGGCCGACACCAAAACTGGAGTCGGATGAAACCACGCCGGATTCCCCAATGGAACACCCTTACAATTTATTCCCATGACAATTTTTCTTAAATTATTAAGTCCACTTCAAAAACGAATCACGTTTCAGCTCGGTATCCAATGGGCACGAAACAACACAGTGTGTGGGTAAATTGCCTTCGATAGGCTGCGGGCATGCTTGCGCATGGAACAAGTTTGAATGAGAACTTTGCGTAGGATAACGCTCGTATTATGCAAGCTTTTCTTCACAAAGTACGTAGGATATCAAATTCGTAACGTCAAACTTTCGTTATGTTAAGAGCTAGTTCCGGGTACATTTCGTATGGTAAATTGTTCGTCGGGAAAAAAGTTCTTGGCGAACATATTCGTAGGCATCAAAGGTAGCTTGGAAAAGCTAGCAGGCTTTGCAGGTAGTTGTTCGTACGCAAATGTTCGCGAATAAATACTCGTCAGGGATAGAGGTCGTATCACAAACGTACTCACACAAAAGTTCGTATGGTGTTATTAGGTGGAAGCGCGCAAAGTTCGTACGCAAATGTTCGTCAAGTTGGAGTTCATTTGACAAATTGCGTGCGCAAAAGATCGTGTACAGAAACATAATGTAAGTTCAAATGAAGATACCCATCCTTTGTGTCGTATGAATGGCCACTGCGGGGGCCGGTGCTGAGTAATGGGTTGGGTGGGGTGAGGGTTGAGGACATCGACAATTGCATAGTTCGGGCCAAACATTATGACAGGCCTGACTTGTAATGTCAAGAACTTAAACACCTTCCGGCGGCCAGCAAGTGAACCCGAATGAATGGGAGCAGTGCAAAATGTCCCTCGAATGGAATACACCAAAGGCAGAACAAACTTCAAAACACGTCTACCGCAGATCAGCCGCTGTTTTCTTGGTACCCGGGATCGATCTGTCCTGGAAAAATTCACATAGTAATACTATTCAAGCAAATCTTTCACTGCGCTATAAATGCTTACGGACGTTGCGAACGTGTTTTGTCGAGGAACCTCTGTCCGTTATGAACTGTTGAGTACCTTCAATTGCGTGCGAACAATTGCGCACGCACTTTATGCATATCGATCTTATCATACCAGCACATGTCTTGACGAACTTCTGTCAATACAAATATTGTACATCCGTCCCTGACACTATTCAAATATTATTTGCGCACGCATTTGTTCCATGCGAAATGTATGCCTTACGTGCATGTACCTACGAACGGTTGCGTACATCCATTACACAGGCGTACTTCTATATACTTTGTATGCGTACATTTCTCCTTAAACCGCTTGTAAGTGCACATAACAAAGCTAAACAACGTTACTTAAGAAAACACGATTATCTGGTCATTTGAATGTCTCTAAATGGGAGCATGCGATGCAGCTCGTATCAATATGAGCGCAGCAATAACACGTACTGGCCAAGAACGCTTAAAAAACGTACATCGTCTGCTATTGTACCCATGTGTAGCCTTTGTGCAGTGCGATATGACTTGCGTCTTCACTCTTCTGAAGATGGCTAGGGACTCTTTGATTTCGTCGTTCCGACCAGACAATGCTGAGGTCGTCCACAGTACAGCCAGCACAGCTAGACACACACACCGTTCAACTGTTAATGAGCATTCCAAGTCCTCATCAACACACGGAAAAACCATTCATGGACATCCATGTGCCACAGCAGCGGCCTCGCCCGTCAAAAGACCGCATCCTATTTTTTCGAGGTGTCCGAGGCTGTTTCGGTGTTCACGCTGAGTGACTGGTCAGTATGCGACGCTGCACCCAAACGCAGATCTGAGATCCGACCAACAAGTTCTCCCACCAAGGTACCTCTCAATCCCAAGGCACAGCAACGCGATCGGTGGCGGCGGATGTCTGCAGTTGTACGGCCTAGCCATGCTGCGAGAGGCGGACCACCTCCCAGGCCATGATATCGCCGGTAGGTGGCACTGCAAACTGGATCTCGCTCGCGAGTAGGCCGGAGTAGTTGCATCCTTTATTCAGTCCTTTTTCTGGCTATGAGTTGCCTGTGAATGTGTTGTATTTACCGCATATGTTTTCGGTATATGCATATTCCCGCATTGCCGGTGTGTTGCCAGTATTTTCCTGTATTTTCTGTATGGTACAC